ACAATGAAAGACAAAAATTCACTAAATTAAAAAAAGAAAATAATAGGAAATGGAAATGAATGTTAAAATAAACTTCGATGCAGGAGATAGGTGAGGTCCTGCGAAGAATTGTCGTCCTCTTGAAATGGCTCCTCCAGGTCCCCGACGTCCTCTCTCGAACTGAGAAAAGAGAGGGAAGTTCATTAGATTCAAGGACAAATTTGGCTTCAGCAAATGGAAGAAAAACGAGGACATTGAAGTATAAAAAAAACCTGGTGTCTGCAGACTGGAACGGAGAGTCTTAAAGGGATGGAAGTGAGCAGTGAAGTCCCCCTACTAAATGGAATGAAGAAAACATGATGCATTAGTAAAAAATGTCAGGAGTAAAATATTTTAAGGGAAAGAACTGTGAAGGAAAGAGGGAAATGAACATGGGGAAAAGGAAAAGGGACATCGTTAGTGGGTGCAAGTAATCAAATGACAACGAAAGACAAAAATTCACTAAATTAAAAAAAGAAAATAATAGGAAATGGAAATGAATGTTAAAATAAACTTCGATGCAGGAGATAGGTGAGGTCCTGCGAAGAATTGTCGTCCTCTTGAAATGGCTCCTCCAGGTCCCCGACGTCCTCTCTCGAACTGAGAAAAGAGAGGGAAGTTCATTAGATTCAAGGAAAAATTTGGCTTAAGCAATGGGAAGAAAAACGAGGACATTGAAATATATTGCAAACCTGGTGTCTGCAGACTGGAATGGAGAATGTAAAGGGATGGAATTGATGAGTGAAGTCACCCTTCTAAATGGAAGAAAGTATACATGATGCATTAGTAAATCATGTCAGGATGAAATATTTAAAGGGAAAAACTGGAAAGGAAAGAAGGGTATTAAAATGGCTAGGGAAAGAAAGAAGGACTAATGGGCGAAAATAAATGAGACTAATAATAATAAAGGAGAAAAAAAACCATGTCATGGAAGTCAACAACATGTAAAAAAGACAAACAAATGAAGGGCATGAAACTCAAATAAAAATACAGATAGGAATTCAATGAAAGCAATTGGGAGGGGAAATACAGGCAATATAAACACAAAGAAACAAAAGAAATACAAATCAAGTTTTGGAACAGTGGCCAAAACCGGACTTGAAACTTTAAGCCAACTGAAACGGGCTGTCCCACGTTCGGTAGAACCGATCGTGAGACGGCCCAACAGCTGACTGAGGAAGGAGCGGAAGTGAATCGCTTTGGGGTGGTGAGGGTATCTTGGAAGTGTGTCTTTTCCCTCCTCTCCCCTGAGGCTACTTTACTTCCGGCCTTGGAAACCGTACGGCTTAAGGGCAATGCCGTCCGATCCGATATCGTCGCCTAGACGGGTTTGCTCGACGACAGAGCGAATTTCGAGGCGACCGTTAAGAGGAACCAAATCGGCAACAGATATCCTTTGAGAAAAGGGCACCACGATTTCCGGGACGAGTCACTCCTTTCAGATTTTTGAATGGGAAAGGAGAGGCTCGGTAATCAGAGATGTAGTTCCTCAAATCGAAAATGCGGTGGCACGATCCAGAATTTTACGCGAAAAGGAAAGTCATGAAAGGATCGAGATGCTCTCACACGTACACTTTCCGCGTCCGAAAAAAAAATATATTTCTGAGGAACAATCTTTGGCATGACGACACGACAAGAAATGGAATCTGCTTTTTTATCATTACGGGATGCTGCATCGGCGTTTGGTCTCGGCATGTAAATTTTGTATGCCAACCGGCCGGATGGGCTCGAAACTCTCTTCTCTCGTCGCACCTCTCGGGTGTTAGAGGGTCTTTCTGGACGAAAACGCTTTGCCGCCGCCGTATTAGATACCGATGCTCCATCTCGGTCGTCGTTGCAGAGCCAGACGACACTCGAATCGACCGATATCGTCCCTAGCGTCAGGTCGAGGTGACGATGTGGAGAATGGCGATTTTTTCCCGCGAGACATCTATCGAGTGAAACCCGAGTTAGACGTTACGGATCGAACCCCATAGGTGATACCGCCTGGTTTCCCGGCTCGTAGCAGGATCGTTCCATACAGATGAGCGGGATCGACTTCGCCATCGTTCCATGGGTTTTCCGACAAAAAAAAATAGAAACTTTTTGCCACTGGGAGAAGGGGGCAGGGGATGCTGCTTTCGGTATCCTTTTACGTCGAGTTTTCGCTAAATGACGCTTCTTTTGCGATATTCTATGCCCGATCTTTTCCTCCTGGAAAAAGTGTTTCATACTTTCGCGACACGCATTTAAATGCTGCCGGCGTCGACCGACACGGGTCGATCCCTTCGTCAAACGCAGGAACGCGAACGAGTCGTGTCATCGCGGCATAGGAAACGGGAAACGCTTCTAAATGAAATTTAAAAAACCATCACGTTTAACGGGGAACGAGATGAAACACGCCTCACGCACTCGAGAATGCCGAAAACCTTGGAAGCATTTCGAACGTTCGTAACTTCCGAAAGAACGACTAGAGCCGAAAAAGAAGCAATGAGGAACTTCGAGGAACTCGAAAGTACGCACGGCGGTGCGCCGTGCGTACTTTCGAGTTCCTCGCGTCCGGTTAAATTTCGGCCCGGAGCATCGGAGACGCGAGTCGTGGTTCTCCGGGGTTCGAGCCGAGGAATTTCCCGAGCCGGATCACGTCTCGTGACGAAGCCATCGCGGATGAAAATCTCGCGTGGAAGCCGAGTCCTCGTCCCCGTTTTCTCTCTCTTCCGACTCGACCGTACGCGAATCGTCGGTTCGGTCGGTGACGACCCCGGGTGCCCGCTCTTCCCTTTCCCTTCCCCACCGTCGGCACGTCTTGCCGCCACGAAGACGTGCAGTCCCCGAGTCCGGCCGCGTTTCGAGACCGTCGCTCCGTTCCGCACTCTCCCGAGAGATCGACGAGAGAGAGCGCGGAGAGAAAGCAGACGTGCACCGACGAGAAGATGCCAGGAGAAGAAACGGCCACGCGGCTCGATGGAGTCTGCCTCTGCCTCCTGCACTCCCAAGGACGACATCCGTCTGCGAGAGACGGGACTCCTTCGGTCGAGGCACGTCGGGAGTGGCACCGCAAGCGAAAAGCAGGAAATCCTCCCTTTCCGTTTCGCTCCTTTCGGTTCCCGAGAAATGGCGTTTTTTTTTTCGGGTTTCTCCTCTCTCTCCGACGAGAAAGGAGAGGAAGGAGAGGCCTCGACCGGTGTCCCCTCCCCGTCCACTCGCGACGAGTTCGCTCGACGAACACTCTCGTGCCCGACCGCCCGTCCCGGTGCGTTCGAGACGAGGCTCATCCCCCGAGCGTTTCCGTTCGGGGACGCTAGAGCTCCTTTTCGCCATCGAACGAAAGCCAGTGATACGCAGATGGAAAAAAAAAGAACGCCACCGAGGAGGAGCAAGGGGATCGTGATGGAATCCGGTGCGCGAGCTCGTGGGATCGCAGGCGAGAGTTTCGAGGGCAAGGGACGAAGATTCGCGCGAAAACGTGCCAAACGCTGGAATTTAACGAGGACGAGGGGGTCGTTCCGGCGACTCGTCGACGGTCGTCCGGAACGATGTCGTGCGTGAAACGCGAAACGGAAACTCAAAATTGAGAAAAATCGAGCGAAGTTTCGAGTCGAAGAGTGAGGCAAAACGGCCGCGGAACGGAGGAAGAGGGCGGCGATCGATCGTTTACTTTTCTTTTTCCCATTTTCGCCATCGTTTCGCTGCGAATCGATGCCGAGATGAAATTTCCTCGGGCTCGAACGTTCGAGCTCTCGATCGACGTCGTACCGGCGGTGACCGGTGAAATCGACACCCGGTGGCAACCTCACCGACTCGAAGGCGTTCACGCTCCCAAGCCAAAAATCCCTGGGAAAGCGAGGGACCCGGGGTGAATCCGCCGAATCGGTCCAAATTTTTCTGCTTTTTTTTTTAAAAAGGTTTGCACTCCGACGAGCACCAGAGGTCCACGTCGAAACCACTTTTTAAATTAAGTATTTAAAAATATACACGACTTAAATACACGATCATACTTCGTTCTTCTAAATTTTGAATTCTAAATACTTCGTTCAAACTGGAACGTTTGCGCTTGCGTTTCGGAAGCAAACTTGAAGGAGCTCTTGCATCTGGACGAGAGGCGAGATGGCATTCGCGTGCCAGAAAGCGTGAAGGGTCGGC